TCTCTCAGATGATATACATCATACTGCATGCTAGTGCTAGTTAAACAAGTGACGTCAACGAATCAGCTATTCAGATAATTTAGGTAAGCAATTTATTTATTTATTTCATAAATTTAGCAGACAGTACTCATATTATTTCTATTTTATAGTGACAGCAAAAAGTCTAGCGCCAGTCTTGAAAGTGACACTTATGACTTATGAGGTATCATTATTAAAAATATATATTGATAAGGAAAAGGTTAAATCTTGGGCTTCAGCAAAAATCACAATAGAGAACAAATGGTTAGAACTATTTCATCATTTTGAAATAAACAATGTTCCATACAATAATGCACTAAAAATCGTGGTATACGCACTGTTCTTATCAGGAACTAATGCTGTGAATTAACGCATTTTTTCTATGGTAAATAAAGTGTGGACATCAGAAAAATCACAATTAAGTGTTGAGACTTTGAAAGCCATTTTACGTGTGAAATAATTTAACAAATTCTTGTGAAAAATTTCATGACCTTTTAAACAATGACAGCAATCTACTAAAAAAAATTCACTCAAATGAGAAATATGCCAAAGAATAAAATAATACTATACATAATTTTTTTAATGTATTATATTTATAAATTGTACTTATGTTGGAATTTTAAAAAATATATTACAATACTATTTTTGCATTCTATGAAAATTTTGTTGCTCCATATAGACCAAATTTTTAATTAAGAACACACACACCCCACCACCACCACCACCACCCCCTACTACCCCCGTCAGTGGTGTCCCACTTTACCTTAAAATCTGGTCACCTTAACAATGACAGCTGCAACCAAAAAATAGCTGGGCGTTGTGGCGGGCACCTGTAGTCCCAGCTATTTGGGAGGCAGAGGCAGGAGAATCCCTTGAGCCCAGGAGTTGGAGGTTGCTGTGAGCTGTGACACTACAGCACTCTACCTAGGACAACAGCTTGAGGCTCTGTCTCAAAAAATAAATAAATAAATAAAACATTTTGAATTAGATAGCTTTTACAAATTAGTAATATCCCTTCCTCCATTGTTTTACTGTGTTGTTAAAAAACTGAGTTTATTTTCTGAGATTTCGTGGCTCACTCCCTAATAGTTTTTATCTGGATCATCTCCTTACTTCTGTTCAACTTATCATTCAATTTTATCTCACTCCAAGCAGTTCCTCTTCAGATTTGAGCCCTGACCTGAAAGGATGGCCTATTGGTCCACTCTGAAAGTCAATAAAGAATAAACTGCTGACCGTGTCAGCTCCCTAAAGCCTTACTATGTACCCCTCACACTCAGTCCTTATTGGGGTGACTTGAACCCATCAGTTGTTGCTTTTTTCAGCACAGATGGTGATGTCACACAGGATGGAGACCAAAGCTTCTATCCCCTCCATGGGCAGGCCACCCTCCAGAAACCTCCACATGTTCAGCTGTCTGGAAACGCTCTGAAACCTGTCCTTCGGGCTTTTATGGAGACTTCATTATGTAGGCATGATCAATTAAGCCATCAGCCATTAATAATCAATTTAACCTTCAACCCCTCTTCTCTCCCTGTAAGTTGGGGAGCAGGGCTGAAAATTCCAAACTTTCAATCATGCTTTGGGTCTTTCTTATAACCAGCTCCCATTCTGAAGCTACCTAGGGACTGACAACCACCATTCATAAAGACATCACTTTGGAGACTGTAAGGATTTTAGAAATTGTGTGTCAAGAAGCAGGGCCAATATATATTAATTTCATAACATATGTGAAATCACACTATGCTAGATATCAAGTAGCAAAGAACTACCTACCTTAATTCAATCATGAATCTAGCTGGTTCGAGATATAGATAAATTCAGCCCGTTTTTATATGTCAAATGTTTCAGGGATAAATCCTATCTTGCATTTGTGTGTGTATTTCACAAATAAAATGTTTTTGGTTTTTTTTTCCCCATGACTCATCATCTATTAGAACTTTGAATCACAGGCACTCTGAGGCCAAGAGAGAGCTTTGCTTTGCCTTTCTCTTCTACCTTCAATACTTGTATTTCTCTGCCACCTTCACTTAAGAAACATCCCTTAGGGAACATTGGATATGTGTTATGAGAAAAAATAGCAATTGTACGAAGCCACGTTTGCTCATTTCTGTTTGCCAGCATAATTTCACAAAGCCCCTGAATTTGTGATGACTTGCAGCTCTCAGAAAGGATGCTTTGAGGACAAAAGAGTCTACAGCACAAGTGTAGAGGATGCCAAGAGCCAGACTACCTCTGAGCAAGATGATTTACAGCTGGGGGTTGAACTCTCCAGCAATTCACCCCCAGGAGCTCCTTAGGAAGAGCCAGCCAATCTGAAAAGCAGTCATTGTTAATTACTCTCCTCACCTGTATTGTTCTGTCCCAATAAAAGGCTAGTGCAAGGGTTGCTTGGGGCTACCCTGCAAAGAAGGTCTAGCCCGCTTATCTCAGGCAAATCCGCATCATGCCTGGTTCCTTCCTGGGGTGATCGAGACCAGGGCAATGGGGGCCGATGGGTCACGACACACAGACTTTCCACCTCTTGCCTGAGTTATTCCTTTCCTTAAAACACAATGATCCTAGTCCTTGCCTTTTCCTGTACGCAAGTTAAAATCTGACAAGGTTAATGACTATCCCTCTGTAATCTATAATCAAATGTACTCTTGCAACCAAACTTTGCTTTTGAAAATGTTACAGGGGCTCGGTGCCTATAGCTCAACTGGCTAAGGCGCCAGCCACGTACACCTAAGGTGGTGGGTTCGAATCCCCAGCCCGGACCCGCCAAACAACAATGACAGCTGCAACCAAAAAATAGCCGGGCGTTGTGGCGAGTGCCTGTAGTCCCAGCTACTTGGGAGGCTGAGGCAGGAGACTCGCTTGAGCCCAGGAGTTGGAGGTTGCTGTGAGCTGTAATGCCATGGCACTCTACCCAGGGGGACAGCTTGAGGCTCTGTCTCAAAAAAAAAAAGAAAATGTTACAGGTAATATCCAGAAGAATTAAAATCATATTCACAGTAAAATCTTTTCAATTATTCCTCATTGCTGTAAGGATAAAAGTTCAAAACACAATTACAATAGCTAAAATTAATACCTCTTTTGTGGGATTAAGAAGATCAAATAAACATAGCCCTTGAAAAGTGGATTTTTGTTCCTCTATATCAGTGGTTCTCAACCTTCCTAATGCTGTGGCCCTTTAATACAGTTCTGTGGGTCACAATCCACAGGTTGAGAACCACTGCTCTATATGTTAGTTTCATCAAAAAATGGATACTTACTATATACATATTTATAATCTAAATGTATATACATTACAAAGTAAAATATTAACTTTACTGCTTTAAATCCATCCTTGTCCTTTGATTCCCTATCAAAGATTAGTGAATTATCTTTGCAAACATTATTTTATGCATAACATAGATACATACATACCATATCCATAATTAACTGTTAAGATCTTAATTACATTTTTTTACCTTTTTTATAAGATACATATTTTTCCAGGTCAGTCAACTTTATTCCAATAGTACTGCATAATATTTCCCTTTAATTGCTTATTAGGCTTCAATCACTTTAAAAATACTTTCTGACCAGACACTAAGAGACTAATTCTGCCTATATATGGTAGCTGCCAGCAACTTGGTACTACTGAACAAATGAAATGTGGCTCGCTCAACTGAGAAATGGTTTAAGTATAAAATACAAACCAGGCTCGGCGCCTGTGGCTCAAGCAGCTAAGGCGCCAGCCACATACACCTAAGGTGGCAGGTTCTGATCCAGCCCAGGCCCACCAAAAACATCAATGAATGCTGCAACCAAAAAATAGCCGGCCGTTGTGGCGGGCGCCTGTGGTCCCAGCTACTTGGGAGGCTGAGGCAGGAGACTCGCTTGAGCAGGGTGGCGCCTGTGGCTCAAAGGAGTAAGGCACCAGCCCCATATGCATGAGGTGGTGGGTTCAAGCCCAGCCCCAGTCAAAATCTGCAAAAAAAAAAAAAAAAAAGAGAGACTCGCTTGAGCCCATGAGTTGAAGGTTGCTGTGAGCAGTGAAGCTATGGCACTCTACCCAGGGAGACAGCTTGAGGCTCTGTCTCTAAATAAATAAAATGCAAACCATATTTTAGACACTTCATACAAATACTGTAAAATATTTCAGTAATGATTTTTTACATGTTGAAAATGATAATACATATTTTAAATACATTTGGATAAATAAAATGTGTGGCTATTAGAATATTTAAAATTATATATGTTCTTACATATGTGGCTTACATTATATTTCAATTGAACATCGCTGCTCTAGACCATACAGATAAGAAGTGAAGAAAAATAGTTTATCTTTTACGGAAGTGACATTTAGTATGGTTAATAAAAAGAATAAATATAAAACTATATACGTATACATACACACAAACATATATAAACTAGCTTATGTACCTGCTTTGCAGAAAAAAAAAAAAGTATAAAGAACCACTTCAGAGTGATTATTTCCCTATTGACGAAACTTTGTTAACAAAATACTGCTACAAATTTTTAAAAGGTTGAATTCACTTGTGCCTTATCAAATTCATTACTGTGAGAAACGTTACAATGCGTAAAAGAATGTGTACTACAATAAACATCTATTTCTCACTAAAACTATTGTTTTATGTTATATTTCAGTCTTTCAGTAATAACAAATAAGACAGTCAAAGTTAAATCACTTTTTGACCCACCCAAGTGGGGGAAGGAAGGATTGGGGGGTGGGGGGACAGAAGGGCAGGGCGGCCGATTTGCTGCAGGAGATACCCAGAGCCAGTAGGAGTGACTAAGTCTGAAGACAGCATGTCAGTTCCCTGGACATCTTCATTTACTGCTCTTTAAGTTTTTCATCTACGAAGGTCCAGGATCCATCTCGGACCCCCTACAACCGCCCTGGGGCCCAACCTAGCATCACCGCTCCAACAGTGTCCCGCTTCCAGCAGCTTTCTCCGCCTCTTCCCATCTCTTCTGCGCCTGCGCGACCGGAAAATTCGCGAAGGTTCTTGAAACGGAACTGGTCGTTTCCGGAAGCTGGCGGCTGCCGCCACCGTCAGAGCAGCGCCCGCGACAGGAGAGCGGTGAACGCGTCCCGCTGCGTCTCCTGGTGTTTGGGTCTTGCCTGCGACGGAGGAAAAAAAAAAGATGGCCTTGCTGTGCTACAACCGGGGCTGTGGCCAGCATTTCGATCCCGAGAACAATTCTGATGGTGAGAGCCCCGCGCGGCCAGCCCGCGTCCCCGCGCCGCCTCGCCTGCCCGCGGGAGGCCTCTTGGGCCAGAGGGCTGCGGGCCCGCCGGCTCGGGGGGCTCGCGGGGCTGCGGTCAAGGTCGCTGCCTTTGGGCGCTGCGGCCGCTTGGCCGGCGTCTGGGAGCGGCGTCTGCGCACCCTCCGCTTCTGCCGAGAGAGACTTTTTCTAAGACTCACGTGTTTCCCTGGCTTCCCCTGCACTCTTCTCTAAGTAACCTGGAATTTAGAGCATACCCCCTTATCCCGGTCCTCTTGGTCTTTGGGGGAAGCGTAGTTAACGAGGTACTACTTAGCTCGCTTTGCGGTTCTCCGAGTAGCGGTGGCTGTGATTTCGTGTGAGAGAGACTGAGATAGAAGGAGGGATGGGCGGGCGGCGGGTTATCCTAGCATTTAATTTGTTTCTCGTATTAGTATAGAAGTTTGTCGCATGTTTAGTCGATTCGCTGTTATAAAGTAATTTTTAAAGTGCTCTTTGTTAGGGGAATTGATTTAGCTTCCTGCTGATTTCGGATACTTTTGGCACATTCATTGTCCTTCACTTGGTTGCAACGTTTGTTGCTTATTGTTGGAATAGCCTCGGGTTTTGATACCGTACTGTCTTCAGGATGAGATGATCGAACGTCCTTTGCAACACATAGGTGGCGTTAAGGATGTAAAGTGAAAGACTACTTATACAGTGGGAAATGTGCAGTGACTTTGAATTGATGAGTGTGATAAAGAAGCGAGTTGATTTCTTTGAATGTTGTGGGAAGTGACAGCATTCTCTGAGATTGAACTAGTATTTATTGTTTGTTTTCTATATGCCAGACATTGCCAGTGTATTGCCATTATATATCTTATATGGCAGACATCATCTTATTTAATCTTCACGACGGTTCAGTATGTGATATTAAAGCCATTTAGTGGAGAAGTTGAGTTCAACATGGTAGTAACATGGTTGAATATTGTGGAGGAAATTAGAACTGATGCTTTTTAGAAGCGGTTTTCACCTTTGAAATAATCGAAATCTTTGTCTTGGCACACAGGTGAATTGGTGATACCCTAAATAATACTGTTGGTTTGCAGAGTTTTAAGGAAGAGATAAACCCCGTGTATACAATACTCAAGTTCCTGTTGTGGACATTTTTATGATGTAAATATGTTACTCAAGTAGAAAATTGTGGGATTCAGTAGATAGCAGAATTGAGAAATGAGGGATTTTAAAACCCTTTGATGTTGGTAGCTATGTAAAAAAAAAATGGTGCCTGTAGGTATTCTACTTTAATATCAAATACAGGGGAAAGGCTGATGTTTTGTATGGGACGATGTTTATTTGCAGAAGTTAGTACTATCTGATAGTACTATCTGAAGTTCAGGGGAGGTACAGCCATTTGTTGGAAAATAGTTATGTCCATCTACGAAGTGGTGCAGTGCCTAGGAAAACAAGAAGGGAAGGCCAGAAAAGCCAAAAGTATGGAGGGTCTTAAGTGTTGGTGTTCAACAGTACTAGATACAACTGGGAAACCCCATTAGAATTGATGAATGTTTATTCACTTTAGCAAAATAAGGGTTATTTTAGAGACTTAACAATAAATTATTTACTTAAAGTAAATGCATAGAGTGAATGGAAAGTGAAGTGGAGATGGGGACTAGGGGACAAAAACTAATAAACTGTTAGTTTTATTAACGGTTTTAGGACTTGGTTAGGAGAAATTTTTATAGACTGGAGAAGGTTTACGCTTGCCCATTGACTAAAATAAACTGAGTGGGTGAAGTTGAAGGTGCAAGCAGGTCTTGTCATGCATTCACCCTTCAGATACTGGATCCATCATCCTTAACAATCTATTAATCTATACTTCGTGCTTTCTTGATTGGGTCTATGGATAATTACCACCTTACTGAATTAGTCACCTTCTGATTTTTTTTCCATATAGATTAAAGTTAGACTCTCTTCTAAGCTGATAGAAAACATTTTAGCTTGTTCTATCATTTTAGAAAGTTAAGTGGGTGTTTAAAGGAGATGTGGTAACTTGCATACGTTAGACAGAAAAATCACAGCCTCATAAGCAGTTATTTAATACACACACATGCAGAAAAATGAAGCATCTGCTAGTGGGAGAGCAGGAATTTTAGCATCAGACTCAATGTTAAAAGCCCTCTCTATACTTAAAACCATTGTACCTTCTTATCCATACTAGCTAAACTGAGCAAAGCTGGTAAACCTGATAGAGGCTAATAAAGAATGGTTATTTGCCTATTAATTGCTTTTGAAAGTGGTTTCAAGTTTTATTCATACTAGTTGATAGGTTAAGCTCTGACTCATTCCTGCGGCCATTTTGCCCAAGTTAACTAGAATTGTGACTTTTTTTTTGCTTCTGACTGTCTTATATATTTATGCCTTGGATTGCATTAAATTTGGCATTCAAAAATAACATGTCCTTTCCTTCCATTCCCCTTTCAACTTCCTTTCTCTTTGTACATGCATTTCTACATTCAACTTCCTTTTTCAGCCCTTAATTCTGTCCCTTAATAATCTTTCTGATCCATGAATTTACTCAGTGTATCAGGGAAATCCCTAATAGTTTCTTACTGTATTAGCTAACATTGTATCTATGCAACACATGGTTACTAAGTAAGCAATACTGGCTGTTAATATGGGATAGGGTGATTTCTCTAAGTATGAGGAATGAATCATTTTAAGGCAACACTTTGGATCAGGTTGTAGAAAACTGAAGCTGAACAAACACAAAAGTCGAATGAGATAGCTTACAAGAAAAGGGATGGAACTGACCATCTTTTCTTTAGGCTCAGAATACTATGTAGCTGGGGAATAAGTGTGTCTGTTAAGTGTGAATAAGTGTGATTGCTTTTTATAATGTAATATTTCATGTTGCAAATTGTAATAAACCTATTTTCATAAGAGTTAAATAAGTAAAAGTTGATAGTGTAGTAGAAGAAAAAGTACAGAATAACAATCATTGACAATCCTGAAAACAGACTGTGAAGCTTAAATATTTTATTTGACAACCATTAGGAAAGTGAAACTGGTACTTGGATATTACGACAGTTTTTAAAATTCTGAGCCTATTCATTCCAAAGTATCTTTTTAGGGAATCTCTTGGAAAACCTTTATAGATCACTGCACTTAGAACATTTAAGTTTGATAGTATTTTCGTAAAAGTAGAATTGAAAAATGATGGTCAAAATCTTGGTACTTAAAAGTTTTGGTACGAAAAAATTTTACTCAAAGAAGAGAAGAAAATTTAAATATGTTATACTTAAACTATTCTGTATTATTTTTATCTATATCTTTTATACTCTGGAATTAGAATATTATTTTAATATAGTGCACTTTGTGCTGTGCATGGAACTTAACCATTAATACATTTTTAAGATACCTATATTTGGAAAAAAGGTGAAAGGTTAACACCTGAAGGAAATGATGTATACTTTTTACTGCATTGTAAATAGTACTTTTTTCCTTCTCTGTTTCTTACCAGATGCTTGCACATACCACCCAGGTGTTCCGGTCTTTCATGATGCATTAAAGGTAGGAACTGGACATATTTTCAGTTTCTTCAGATATGCGTAGTAAACTGAAAGATGTAATACTAAATGTTCATTTTCTTATCTTTTTTCCCTCCACTTGTGACTTTCTTCTTTCTTAATGACCATTGTGCTTTAAGTATATACTCCACTAAAGAAAAAGAAAACAATAGGTAGTGCTTATAAGGTCTTTTCCACTTAAAAATTAGGTGATTTTCATTTCAATTCTTATTTTCTACACCCCCTTTCTTCACTTTCCTAATTTTGAGGGGAAATAGAAGTACTTGTATTAAATCTCAGTCTATCACTGAAGGCAAAGAAAACAGCTTTGAATTTAAGGAAAAATAGTTAAAAACACTGATGCAAATGAAGCTCAAGGCAAATGACGCAAACAAATCTCAAGGCAGACATGTAAGTTTATAGTGTTTTTACTGAAAAGAGATGTTGCTGATTTTCCTACTTTACTTCCTTGATATTCTGTCAAATTAAAGAAATAAATTTAATAGAATGTTGTCAACCAGATTATTGATGGTGATCTTTTTATTTAAATTTATTTTATTAGAGACAGGGTCTGTTCTCTTTTGTCCAGGCTAAAATGCAGCAGACCAATCATATCTCACTGTAACCTCGAATTCCTTGACAATCCTCTTGTCTTGGCCCTTTGAAAAGCTCGGTCTACAGGCACATTCTACCACATTTGGCTGATTCTAATATTAATATTTTAAGAGGCTCCATGCCTGTGGCTCAAGTGGCTAAGGCGCCAGCCAGCCGAGTGTTGTGGCGGGTGCCTGTGGTCCCAGCTACTTGGGAGGCTGAGGCAGGAGACTCACTTGAGCCCAGGAGTTGGAGGTTGCTGCGAGCTGTGATGCCACGGCACTCTACCCAGGGGGACAGCTTGAGGCTCTGTCTCAAAAAGAAAAAAAAATATTTTAGGAGATAGCATCTCCTATGTTGCCCAGGATGGTCTCAAAACTCTTGGGCTCAAATTTTCCTTTCACTTTGACCTCCCAAAGTGTTCAGATTGCAGGCGTGACCACTGCCCCCTGCCTGAACTTTTTTTGAGACAGAATCTCATTATGTCGTCCCAGAATGTTAATGGCATCACAGCTCACAGCAACCTCAAACTCTTGGGCTTAAGCGATTCTCTTGCCTCAGCCTCCCAAGAAGCTAGTACTATAGACATCCTCCCCAATACCCAGTGACTTGTCTTGTTGTTGGCCCAGGCCAGGTTTGAACCCACCAGCCTCCGTGTATGTAGCCAGTGCCATAACCACTGAGCTATGGATACTGCTCTGAGCTTTTTAATATTTGTAATAATGTAGTACATTTGGAGAGTTGGCTTTGTATATCCGTAAAGAAAACAATGTCTAATTATACCTTCCATAAAGTAGTTGGACTCTTTTGGTGCTTAACTGTTACACGACCATATCTAGCCACAAATGTGCAATAGATAAAAAGTTTATGTTAGTCTTACTAGTTCAGGTTGAGACTTTATTTCTTTTTTTTGTTGTTGTTGTTTGTTTTTGATGACCTCTTTTGATCTATTTTATTTTATTTTTTTAATTACAAATTAATATGAGGGTACACATTTTTAGGTTATATTGTTCTCAGTTCCAAGATAAAGTTCCAGTTGTAAAAGAGCCCTTCTCCCGGGAGTCATGTTATACACTCTTACTGTGTGCACATTAGGTGAGATCCTGCCTCACTCCCTCCTTCCTTCTGCCAATTGTCCTCCCTCACCTGCCTTCCTCTACCCCCATATCAGACTGTGTTTGTGTTCTGTTGTTTATATGATTGTGTAATTGTTTTTATATTGCTTTCATATTAATAAAGAAATACATTGGATATTAATTTTCCATTCTTATGATACTTCACTAAGAAGAATATATTCAGCTTCATCAAAGTCTCCATCTTTTTTAATGGCTGAATAATATTCCATGGTATACATATACCAAAGTTTTGTTGATCCATTCATGGATTGACGGACACTTAGCTTGGCTTAAACACTACTTGGCAATTATGGATTGAGCCACAGTATTAAACATTCTGCTGCAAATGAGAAACCTTATTTCTTCTAATAACTTTTTTGGCCTCTTTATAAGCCTTTATGGTAGTAAAACTAGTTTTGTGGGAAGAATAACTTTTCTTTTATGGTTGTTTTATCTTTTCTTTCTGATTATTTTTCTTAGCCTTTTTCTTCTCTGTGCTGCTTTTGTCCTATCTCATAACTATGGTCTTCAGCTTCCTATTTTCTCTCATTGATTTGTGTCCTTAAATGTGTCACCTTGGTGCTAGTGACTCTTAAGGCATATTTCCATTCATGTGTCTCATTAGCACCCTTAAGCCAGTATCTTAAGGTTAACACTTACTCTAAAAATATCCTGCTTCTCAATGTTACTGTTTCTAGTGATGATACCACTGAGAGCTTTCTAGTCATTCTGTCCATTGCTCTTGTTTTTGGTTATTCTTACCTGACTGTCAATTACTCTAAGTGATTTTACTTTGTAACATTTGTGTTTCTTTCTCTTATTCAGCTCTGTGTCTGTTATCATCTCTGTTGTATAAACATTTCTTGAAGAGAGTTGTATTTCCTATCCCAGTATCCCAGTATATTTTAGAGAAAATGAGTATGTGTATTGGGTCACTACTTTTCCACTTGATGAAGTAAGAAGTCAAATGCTGCAATAACAAAAGAAAAAGCATTTAAACATTAGGGACATATTTAGAGAAAAGGACACTCCTATTTTGCTCAAGAAAAGACAGCAAGCCATCTTACAGTCACATGCTTAAATTTTTCCTTCTTTTTCTCATTTTACTAAGGACTAGCATAGAATCAAGATTGGTATTTGGGAATAGCTGGCTTATATCTTGGTTTAGGTGTGTGTATCCCAGTATCTGACATATAATT